TTTGCCAACTTGGATGTGCAATGCTAATGTGGGGTGAATAAAGGAGATGGGAAGGGAAAAATATTGTTAAGAGGTGACGATAGCAAGACGGTGGTAGGAAGAAAAAAATTGTTATGATGCACATTTTCGGAAAAAAATGCATTTTTACTGCTAATGTGATCGAGAATATATGGTTGAAAAGGAAAAAAATTTATTGATGTAATGGAAAATATTTATTGAAAAATGTGAGATTAAAAATAAGTAGAAGAATGCGAATGAAAAAAAATAACGTGGATCAAACAGGGCCTATATATTTATGAAATGTTAGGGGCCTTTGCTGACACAAATTGAAAGTTAGGGTAATGCCTGTAAAAGTTGAAAAATTTAGGGATTGTTGCTATAATTGTCTTTACTTTTTACTACACATTCTTCAAAAAATATCATTCTAAATTATATTTTTTATTTTTTTCAAAAATGAGATGAAACAAGGGCATAATAAGGACAAGTCTATTTTCGTTAAATTTCTACATCGGGTCCCAACTCCCTTGTTTGTTCTATTTGTTTTCAGGAAATTTTATTTGTACATAAGAGGTTGACAACCTATCACATGCGTTTGGGGTCCGCATGTTTAAAAATTAAAAAAAAAAGGTGGATCCCTCATTTGAGAGGTTGTTAATCTCGATTGTCAGCCTCTTATATACAAATAGCATGACCCTTTGATTTTTGACACCTTCGGGCCCACCTACTTGATTTATGGTACACTTCGTCAATATGTGGAGTTTATTACCAACATGGCAATGGAGCCTAAGCCATGGATTTTAAATCACAATTTCGACTTATCCGACAAATATAAAAACAAAAATTTAAATATTAATATTAATTAAACGGATTTTGCTGTTTGTACAGAAAAAAAAATTAAAAGTGATCGAAATGATGTGGAAGAAAAATATTAGATAAAAAGCCAACTGTGATTTAAATTGGCAAAAATAGAATGTCACGTGACATTATGTAAGTTATGATGTATATGTAGCATTGTCTTAGTCAAACGCATTTAAGTATGATCTAGTTTCATTGTAATAGATATAGAGGACTCTTTGCGTGTTATTATCTATTCATCCGTTATTGATTCTACATAGGTTAATTTTTCGATTAAGTTAGGAAAATATTAATTGATGATGAACCTTTAAGAAGTGATAATTGCTTTCTTGTTACCAATTGTTTCTTTCTAGAAATTGGACGATCTCCCTTTTAATATTTTGAGTTTTTAAACGATAAAATTAAGCATAATATCATTTTCCTTGATATAATAATTGTGTAGATCTTCAACAAAAATAAAATAAAATAATAGTAAAATAATATAAGAGGATGTATGGACAATAAAATTTAAATAAATAAACTTATCCTTCTATAATAACCTTCCAATATTTTATACATGGAGCCCGCACCATGTGACCGAAAAATTCAAAATTCTGTACATTTTCTTTCAAAATTTCCCTGCACTTTCAGCATTTTTCAACAAACAAGCATAAGACAGAAGACCTCATCAAACTGAACACAGACAACCGTAAGACAGAAAGTATGTTGAGTTTTAAGAACCAAATGGCTGAATTTCTGTTACAAAATCCGTTTATACTCACTTTTATCGCTATATTTCTTCTATGGAAATTCGTCAACCGGATGGCGGCTCCTACAAACAGCAAAAATCTGCCGCCATCGCCGCTGAAACTCCCAATTATCGGAAATCTCCACCAAATCGGCACGCTCCCACACTATTCCCTTCAATCCCTGGCAAAAAAATACGGCCCGCTAATGCTTCTCCACTTTGGAAATGTTCCGACGCTTATCGTTTCATCGGCGGACGCCGCCAGGGAAATTATGAAAACCCACGATGTTATTTTCGCTGACAGGCCCGAATCTAGCGTTTTCCGGCGGCTTCTTTACGACATGAAGGTTGTGTCAGTTGCCCCATATGGAGAATACTGGAGGCAATTGAAAAGCATATTATAAAGCAACAACGTGTTGAAGTTG